CATAACATAACATAACATAACATAACATAACATAACATAACATAACATAACATAACATAACATAACATAACATACTAACCTAACATAACATAACATAACATAACATAACATAATATAATATAATATAATATAATATAATATTTGTCTGTCTGTCTGTCTGTCTTTGGTTATTCGGGTTTTCCGCGTAAAATTGGAGGTGTCTTGGCGATGTTTCGATGAAGTCTCATTCGTCATCTTCAGGCTTCATGTTTCCAGGAGCAATGTGAGATCTCGGCTGTTTCTTTCTTTTAACTGCCAGTGGGGGTTTGAGCTGATTGGGTGGGAGCTTGGCTGTGTTCTGATTGGGTGGAAGTGTGTTCTGATTGGTTGAGGGTTTGTGTTTCATGTAAGGATAGGAGGGACGAATGAGACTTCGTCGAAACGTTGCCAAGACACCTCCAATTTTACGCGGGAGAAAACCTGAATAACCAAATACCTACATACACACACACACACACACACACACATATTTATATATACACACACATATATATGAATGAAGTTGGAAAGAAATTTATGCCTCATTAATTTGCCCATTCTCCAAATTATTAAACAATCCCATTGTAAATGATCTATTAATGACATGACAAAGTCATGTTCTATGCACCTTCAGCAAATTAACAATCAAGGAAACAATGTTAGACAGCAAAGATAAATATAAATAGACCACTTTGTTGGAATTATTGATGCACTTAACAATTTCAAAAAATTTTCACGTGTGAATTCAACCACTCTATTTGTAACAGCTAAACATCCTTTAAAGCAATGCACCTACCCCCAGGCAAGAAGCAAAACAACCTGCATTTCCACCTACCTGTGCTAGTGCGATATGTGCCTGTATGTGCTGGTTGAAGAGGGTCTCCCTGACTCTGGCTGAGACTCCTCATAGGCGGCTTCTGATACACTCTGTCCTCATAAATAGGATCTATGTGATGCTCTGGAGATTGTAGCGCCCTTAGTTCCGAGCCCAGATGGCTATGCTGACTTGTGTATGAAGCCCGGGATCCAGCTGCAAAATAAAGTGATATCAGAAACTTTATGAGAGGAAAGAAAGAGCATCTACAAAGAGAGATATTCTTGAAATATTATTAATATTGGTTCACCGACAAATGTGCGCTCGACAGAAGTGCGCTGATGAAACCGCGCTGAGAAAACCATGAGGTCAAAATCGCGCCAACAAATGAGCGCAGAAGCGTGCCGACAAAAGCGCGCCTTCAACAAACAAGTAATAACAACCTAATAACCCTAACCCTAACTTAACCCTGAACCTAACCCTTACCTTAATTTAAATCGCGCTTTTGTGGGCACAGTTTTGTCGGCGCGTTGTTGTGGGCATGTTTATGACATCGCAGTTTTCTCGCCGCGGTTTTGTCAGTGTGCTTTTGTCGTGCGCGCATTTGTCGGGTCACGATTAATATTAATAATTCATTATTAAAAACTTCTGGTAAGTAAAAACAATTTTTTTTAAAAAAAAAAAACCAAACCAATTAAAACAATAAAAAAATTGGTATATTCCATATAAGAAAAAAAAAACATAATACAAAAAGGCAGTAATAGTTCAGATTTATTAGCTTACAGTTAAAAAGACCTAAACTTTCAAGGAAACAAAGGCGTTCAAAAGTGGCTACACATCAGAGTTTTTTCTATATTGTATAGCAGCAGCTTCTCTATTTAGTAGTAGTAGCAGTCTACTACTGCTATTTTCATCAACCGCATCAGAGGTGGGTTCCTACCAGTTCGCACCTATTCGGTAGAACCGGTTCATCAAATCTGCCGAACCGGTTAGAAGAGGTTCCACCAGTGGACCCAGAAAGCAGGCCACAACTACAGAAGAGGCTCCAAACTTTTTTGAAACCCACCACGGGTCCTTGGATATGATTATTCTACACTATCATGCTCCTATTTATAAAACTCGGTGCCTCTGTGAAAGGTAAGGATGACTACTGCGTTTGTGGTGCAATCAGAACATTGCGTGTGTTGAANGAGACCTAAAGAATTATATTTTCCATACTTCCTTTTCTGTATCAAAAAGGAAAAAATGGCACAAACATACTTAAGGGAATGTGTATTAATCATGAACTCAGAATTAAGGTCCCAGTGAGCTGTAGTGATCCAGACTTTATCCAGAACATGTTGCTGAATATCTTGAAGTATTCTTTCTAAAATCATCATTCCATTCCAGAATGAATTAATCCCCGAACCATAAACAAACACATTGACTTTTCTCCATTTGAAATATTGTTCAGGTTCCATAACTATATTATGCATATTTAGTGGAAAGCTTTGATATATAA